AAAACTAGAAATACCACTGAAGCCGAGAGAGATAGAAAGAAAAAAAAGTTGTGTCTGAGAGACAACACCCAGTAAAATGCTTTTCCTCGCGTTATGAAGAGGCTAGAAGGAATGTTTAAATGATGGGAATGAATAATGATATTGTAATTTTGATACCCTGAAATCCTATTTTATTCATTTGAATACTGATGATTCCCTTGTCAACGACATAGCTCCTCCCCAGTTCTCCATAACGCAGAGAAATGCATTTATTTTACCCTGATATATCTCTCGGCTTCTATTTTTTTTCTTCCTCTATATGTTTTTCATCTTTCTTTCTCTGTTTTCCTGAGTTTTTTTTTTTTATTCTTTCATTGGCAACTTAACGTTTTTTTTTATTTCGTTTTTTTTTTTTTTTTTTGTTACGTCTGCTCATTTTTGTATTTTTTCTTTAAGCGTATGGTTTTCAATCTGGTAATAACTTAGTTCATATTAATTTCTATCTACTAAAAGGTACAGTAAGTAAAATAAAATAAAATGAAACTAAATGTAGGACGAGTTATATATCTTATAATTGACAACTAATTTTTTAAAGTGTAATTAAATTGTATAGAATCTCTAACAACAATTTTTATTCATTTTTTTAAAATTTCTATTTAAAAGGTTTTTTTCATTCTTCATTTTATTTTGTTAACCTGTTCAAATTTCGTATGTATAATTACGTATGTAATGTTTAATTTAATAAATGCTTGATATATATAACTGTTTAATATTTTTTTCTAGGGAATAGAAAATCGTTTTACTCGATAAGTAAATTAGAAAAGCTTTTATTCAATGGACGAAGAAAGATCAAATGATGCAGATCAGCGGAAAGTGCCCAATCCAACTGTCCAATCCAACATGTTGCTTCAATCTTTTCCGACTGTTAGATCTGTATTCGATGTGCTAAGAAAACAGTTTGAAAAGTACGCTGTAAAGCAACAAAGCAGTGAAAATATATCTTCAAACGAGTACTTCAATATTGATAAAGAGCTTGATAGCAATCAGTATGATCAGGAAAATTTGTCCCTAACTTCGGAAAAGACATCAATCGATGCGAATATACATTCGAAGGATTTTAATAATTTAAGTGAAGATCAGGTCTTAAATACGAAAACAATACACCAGAAATTAAGTGAGGACGAAAATCGCAAATACCAATCACATCAAGTTCGAACATCTGGTGATAGCTCCGGGAATTCCAGTTGGAATATTTTTAATAAAACGAAAAATAACGCTTTCCAAAATGAATCCAAAGATTTTGATTGTCAAGAATTATTTAGTCACAATAGAAGTCAGTATGTTACAATAGAAAAAAAGCTTGGTAAACTGCATTATTCTGGAAGTGTTGTTCTTAATTTTTCTGATGTTTGCTGTCAGTTATCTTTTGGAACTGTTGGTGTAGAAAGTTTTTTGGTTGTGAATTGCGTTGATTCAAAGAATTGTGACCCATTTGTAGCTAGAATAGAGATCTCAGATAAAGAGGAACTTAATTACTCTCTTCCGTTCCATCGAAATAAAAAGAAACTGTTTGAACTGATTACGATTACTAAGATATATGAAGATGGATTATTATTTAAAAGAAATGAAGCTTATGACAATTTCGTGTTAACTTTAAAAGAAAGAGCTAAGAATATCTCAGATGATTTTAGTTGCAAGGAAGATTTTATACAACTTCTGAAAATAGTAAGGTCTCATAATTTGTCCTTGGATCAGCCTTTAATATTGTTGAAAGAAATTATCCAAATTGAAAGCATATCAAACGAAGTCAAAGATAATGCAGAGCATTTGAGACATATAGAATCTAAACTTTCAACTCGAAATCATAATTTCCCCAAATTTAGTGCGAAGACTGATATGCTGGATTTATTCGGAAGAATAAGAAATATTTGTATGGAGGGAATCGATATTCACCGTAAGAATTTAATCAATGAATGCCCAAACAAAAGCTTCAAACTTGTTTGCCTTGTTGTGAATGTAAACAATTTACTTGACAAAAAAATTCTATTTATCAGCAAAAAAGACATTAAACTGTTTGCTGATTTGTTGGAGTTCATGAATGAACAGTATCCAAATGAGAGACATCCCACAGATTTTGTTAAAAACTTGTGGAGCAAATTTTTTAAACGAATTGAGGTAGAAAATCAGAACAAGTCTCTGAAACAATTGGGATCCATTACACACCCTATTTATTTCTTCCTGTTAAAAAGTTTGTATGATACAGTCTCTGACATACGTTCCAAGAACGCAAATGAAGTCGAAACATTGATTTCCTTTAATGATGGAGATCTTGTGACAGTTGAATTTATAACGTGGTCTACTAACGATCCTTTAAACAAATCTCTCGAACAACAATATCTTCTAATGTGTAAACTTATTAAATTTTTTGAACCAGGAATTTATTTTTATCAAAATAATTTCAATTATACATTTAAGTTGCTGAAAGGAGACGAAGATGTATCTCTTTGGGAAACAGTTAAGAATCTGTCTCTGGAACGCCTTATTTGGTTATACATAGTTGATTCTAGTCTTGAACCGATTTTGTGTGACAATTCTGCTGTCCGATTTAAAGAATTGTCATTACCAGTACTTAATGGGTTTGTAAAGTTCATACAAGACGTTAGAGAAGAACGACATGAAACTTGTCGTGTTGCTACTCATAACATCATACAGTTCGTTAGCCGCATATCTCCCTATATCAGTACGATTTATTCGGTTTTAACTAGCATTGATCATAGTATTTTAAACAAACAAATTGATGTTATAAGCAGTATACTTATCGCTGAAGATAGAGATACCTTATCTGATCATTTTGCTACTCTATTAATGATTTATAATGAGTATTGGGATCATAGAGATTCAATAGTTGGAAAGCTTCCCATACCATGTAGCATATTTAAGTCTGATGTTGAATCGGTCATGAAGAAGTTATTGGAAATAGTTCAAAACGCATTTTTTAAGGAAATCGATGTATCTGTGAGAATTAAATTTTTAAGATTATACAACGAGTTTTTGAAGCATCTGCAAGGCATCAATTTTCAATGGTTTATGTCTAAATTCTCCTATTTCCCTGAGTTAGAAGGAGCTGTTGAGGAGGTTTCAAAGAACGATGTAACCTCTTATCGTGTAATAGAACCAGAAGATTTTGTGGAAATTTTTATGCAGAATGAAAAACCAATCCCGAAGCATTTTTTGCTCGAGGCAGTAAAAAAGTTGTTGGATGTTGTAAGAATGTCCCTAGACAAAGTTGGCTGGAGTGATGAAGATAGTGTAAAATCAGCAGGTGATTTACTCCTTGCAGTGGGACACTCCTTTACTCATTTTGAAGACCAAGTTGACTATAGGGACTTGGAACATTTCTTGAGAGATTGCACGTTACCTTTTTACTGTGTTGTACAGAACAGCCATACCTACTGGGATTTCAAGAGACGTTTAGATAATGTTGAAAACTTTTACGTCTATGTCAGAAAGCAAAATCAAATTGGTATTCAGGTTGCTTTAAATCTCTGCGAACAGGAAGTGAGTAAAGCTAAAAAAAGTGGGTTTGAAACCATGATGGATAAAACCATATTAGAAGATTGCTATGACCGATATTCTAAGAAGCTCCTTTCTTTGGAAAACTTCGAAATTTCAGAAATTTTGAATGACATGGAAGATCAACTAAAAAAGGTAAAAAAATTGCCTTTACATCAGTGGTCATCGAATTTTAAACTAAATTCATTACCAGTTTTGTTGGCTAATTTAGCTGCAGTTTGGTCTTTGCAAGAGTCTGAGGATGTGTCCGGTATTAAAAAGAAAATTGAGCCACACTGCGTTCAAATTCTGTGCATATTTAGGCTTTTGAGAGTTGATAAAGACTCTGTTGGAGTTCCTAAACATTTTGCTCAAGTCTTAACGGGTCAAGGAAAATCCCTCATTTTAGCTCTTATTTCAGCTTTAGTTGCATTAACAGGTAGTGAAGCTTGTATAGTTTGTTATAGCGATTATTTAGCACAGCGTGATAAAACTAGGTTCAAATCATTTTTCGAAACTTTTCATAGGTTCAATGTAGGAAACAAGGTAAGCTACAATACGTTTGAGTATATGGCTAAAGAAACTTTATTGCGTAAAGTTGATGGGGTAGTGGTATCTTTAGCATCCGTTATTCAAGATTTGGTTTTAAACAATCTTACAACACCGGTTGTTAGTACTATCCAGAAATTTGAAAGAGTTCTTTTAATTGATGAGGTGGATGTTTTTTTCTCAGAGGATTTTTACGGAACTGTTTTCTCTCCTATTGTAGGAGTAGCTGTTCCAGCTCTGCTGAAAATCCAGCCTAAAATCTGGGACATTGTCCAGAATGGAGTTTTGGAAAAAAATAATATTTTGGAACAGATCAGTGTGTTCATAAGTGAGTTGCTAAAAGATGAAAATTACGTTGATTTTAGACATTTATTGAAAACTACCTCTGTTTTATTTGAGAAGGAATTGGAAAGAATGGTTATAGATGCGATATATGTTTTTAAAAATGCTGATCGTAAGGGTCAATTTAAAATCAACCAGCAGGGATCTATTTGTTTCAAAGATAAATATTTCCAATACCGTACAAAGGTATATGTATCTTATCAGAATTCATTTAACTATTTTAGGCTCAAAAAGGAAAACTATGATGATAATAGTTATTCAAATTTTGGATATTTGCTACTGAAAATGGGGTCTATCTCATATGCAAGCCTACCTTTAAGATACCAAAGCATTCTGGGAGTAAGTGGAACACTGTTGAATTTAAATGACTCAGAAAAAAACTCCTTGAAGAATTATGGTATTCAAACCCTGTCTGCTATGCCCTCCTTCTTTGGAGAGCGAAAACTTGTTTTTACCCCCTCGAGCATGTATCTATTTTAAACTCAAACACGAGTTGGCTGACAAAGATATTCGAAAGTATTTCTAAAAACGTTCACCTCAATCGAGCTGTATTGGTTTTTTTCGAAACGGATACAGAAATGGAGTTATTCCAAAGCGAGTATCAGTCTAGCATCGATCGCCTGTATACGCTAACAGGAAACGAAGATCCAAAAACTTTACAGTGGCGTATTAACGAGGCTGGCGTTGCACAAACTGTGACGCTAGCTACAAAGACTATGGGTCGTGGTATTGACTACAAGTCGAACGACAGAAGTGTCGAAGAAAATGGTGGTGTGCACGTCATTCAGACATTCTTCTCTTTAGACGAAAAGGAGGAGATGCAAATTAAAGGCAGAACAGCTCGTACGAATAACCAGGGTAGTTATGAGCTGATTCTTGACCGCCGGCGTTTGATGCAAATGAAATGCAGAGCTGAAACATATGAAGAGCTTTGCAATGAGAGACAATATTCAGAAAATCTTAGAGGAGATGATATCCAAAAAGGAATGAAAGCTGCAGAAGAAAGCCACAACAAAACTCTGGAATTTTTCGAATTCTTAGCAAAATATACACCTGAAAATCGCAATGAATATTTGTCAAAGTTAATTGAGTGAGTGACTAGTTGTAGACTTTCTGCGATTAGAAACAGTTGTGAAATTTATTTATGACTGTATATAATCATCAAAAAGGTCACTATGTCATCAAAACTATTGTGGCTTATTATTAACTATGTTGTTTTTTCTTTTAAATAATTAATTGCCCTTGAAAATGTATATTATAGCTTAATTTTTACTTTAACCAATCCAAAGAATTAGCTAAAGTAAAGCGTTTATTCAAAAATAAAATTTAATAGAGAAATCTTTTGTCAATTTCGATCTAGTTTTGGTAATACAGTCTTTGGAGAATAAATATACTTTTGGCTCAAAAGAGCCTAACTAACGTGTGCGGGTTTGCTTAGCATGCCACAAGATGCCGATGACAAAGTCTATTATTAATCTTCAACTGTAATCTGTTACTAATGAAAGAGGAAAAACTAACGTTGCTTATCTTTTTTGGTACATAATATCTAGGTGATATTAGGTTTTTTCAAAACATGTGCAACAACAATATTGTTAAAAGCAAATATCGTGCTTAATGTTAAGATATGAAAATTTATTCCATTGATCAGCATAGTTACCCGTCACGCATTCTACTCCTTGCTTTGTACGTGAGCTCACTTAACAGATCATAGTTTACCAGAGTTATGGAAAGTATTACCTATTAAGATTGGTATGGTTTTTTTTTATTCTGATTCTCCGCCGGAGAATAACTCAAAAGTTAAGTGGTTGTATAAAAAATAAATACAATATCAGGGTTGCCACTCCACAGGGAGAATCAGGAAAATATAGGGAATTTAAGTTCACCTTTAGTAATTGGGGAAAATAAATGGGACTTTGTTTCTTATTTCGTCTTTTAAAACAGTGGTTCTTAACCTATTTAAGCCGCGACCCAAATTTGAGAAATATGTTCATGTCGCGACCCAAAAAAAAGTCACAATTTTTTCATTGCTTTATTTTAGATCGTATTTTTAAAAAATCTTCAATCCTACGATGATGATTCTTTTTAACTTACAAATTCTTTATTTATTTTTTAATAATAAAGATAAACAAAAGTACTTTTTGATCCAAGGAAAATTAAATTAATAATCAAGTGTTTTTAATAATTTTTATTGACTAAATTAAAATATATTAAACTTTTTGAAAATAATTGACATTTTAACTTATTCCTAAAAAAAAGAAAGAAATATCAATACATATGTTAAGTCTTTTAAATTTTAAATGCAAGTCATACAGTTTTAATGAGAACCTTGTGCTTGAATACATTTTGAAAGATCTTCAAACCTCGGTTGAATGCTTGTCAAGGAGCACCTTATATCTATTTCAGGATTTATCTTGTTCCGGTAATTGTTTTGATTACACACAGAGCCGAAAACCCAGCCTCACACATATATGTTGTTGAAAAGGGCAATAATACGTTTAGGGCTTCTTTAACAATTATTGGCTTTTCGGTTTTTAATTTTAACCAGAAAGCACATAAAGATTCAGTGTTTTTGCAGAAATTGTATCGAAGTGCTTGGTCACTTTGTATTTCTATTAATTGTTCTTGAAATTGAATTAATATTAACAAATTCCTCATGCAAATCACTTACATCAAAATTAAATGGCATTCGAACCCAATTATATTTGAAAACATCGTCTGCAGGGAAATATCGATCAAAGTCTGCTATTAGTTTTTCTAAATAATTAATAATAATTTTCTGTATTTCAAAATCTGTGCTATCAATATTATTGTCTTCAACAAGTAAATTAAGAGTCGGGAATGAAGCAAGTTTCTTTACTTCATTATGAACGAGGATTAAGGGTATAGAGTTACGCAGGTACCTCATTAAGCCTAGGCTGAGTAAGCCACAATGACTTCTTCTAGGAGGTGTTGGTATTACTTATTATTTGGTGTATTACTAACTTTTTTGGTTCGACTCAGTGCGACCCAAGAAATATGCTTCGCGACCCAATTTTGGGTCACGACCCATAGGTTAAGAACCGCTGTTTTAAAACATAGTAACCCCTCAAAGTGTTTCTATGGATTATTTAAGGATGATATTTCAGCTATATTAAACTAGTTCATTTACTATTGCATTATTTGTTTTAAGTATGTTCAACTGTTCCTTTCTTCCTTAAGTTTCTCCAGTAATTAAGTTTAATATAGTTAAAACAATATAACTCTCACAGTGGTCGTGTGTTTCCTCTTAATATATTATAAGTACAGGGAAAACACGGGGAATTTTTTTTTCCAGATTAGAGTGATAACCCTGAATATTTCACTTTACAGTTAAAATTAAATACTTAAATAAATATTATTTTTGCTATAATAAAAATAAGAATTCAGTGATGACGTTTAGCATCACATTGTGTTATTCAAAATTATCTTATTATGATAAAATAAATAATTATTAAGTCTATCCGCAATTTATCTCCTGTGCTTATTTAGAACAAATGCTGAATGAAGCATATATTTTAAAGTTTGCGATGGGAAATCCGAAAATAATTATTTGTTGATAATATATCTTTAAATTATTAAAAAAAGAAAAAAAATAATTCAGATATTTTTTATTTTGCAAATTAGCTTAAAAATATTGTCAAAACTTTTTTCATAAAATAAGTTTAAAAAAATAAAAATAATAGATTTCTTGATTTTTTTAAAGGAAATTAATTTTACGAATAAATCGACTTTTTTGACGAAATATGAAGTAAACTGGAATAAAATTTGTTTAATTCATACGATTATCAGGGCGCCGTTCTAAGTTTAAATGGTAATACAGTACTATATTTTTTCATAATTTAAAAGTGTTTTTTATGACCATTAGTTCAAATTTGCTTTAATAACAAGTATTATGGGCCAAGTTAAAAATGTATATAGTTCTTCGATATCAAAACACAAAATGAGTGTATTTTTATGTGTATTCAATGCTCATTTCATTCATAGTTTCTTAAATCCCTTAAGTACATAATCACTGTGTGTAGAACGAACTCCCCTCGCCATTCGTCTGAAACAGTGGTGGTGACTAAGGTTACGAGGATTTCAAGTACAGATAAATCAGAATTTGAGACAGGTTTTGGCTGGGGTTGACTAAAAAAAGAGAATTAGGGGACAGAGAAGCTCACCTCTATGAAATGTGCCATTTCTTGTTCAGAAGATGGCCCCAGACTTTGTAGCGAGGGTAGTTTTTTCAATAGATAGCGCTTCCATTAAATTTCACACCGCCCACCAGAGTGTGTTAGCGTCCATGTTGGGCGCTGAAGGAGATAACAATACAATTAAGTTAGGTTGGTAATTTCACTTTATTATTAATAATTATGATTATAACTACCATCTTATTAAAGTTTCATTTGTGGTCACAGATTTTTATGAAACTTTAAAAAAAAAAGATTTTATCGAAAAATGGCCAAAATAATTTTTTCAGAATTTTCAGACCACAACTATGATTAAAGACCCATTTTGAAAATTATTTCAAATAAAAAGAAAACGGCATTACAACAGATGATGGCTCCAGCGTTAGAAAACTCTTTTTAATTTATGAGCCTATTTTTTAATAAGGCAACACTATGTAGTTAAGCTGTCTAAAAGCTGTATATATAAACAAAATTAAAAAGAAAAGTTTTATTAAAACTATTTCTTTGCTTGAAAGTAATGACCTCACGATATTAAATATACTTTTCAAGAAGTTAAAAAAATTGGGAAGGTGTTTTTTGTCTAAAAAAATAAAAAGTGATTTTTTAGCAATAATTCTTAAAGTACAAAAACAAAGATTTTTTGTCTCAATTTTTCTCATAATTTTATTCTTCATTATGCTTTTTGTTTTTGCGTAGTAAAAGAAATGAGTGGTTTCTCCCTGAAATAATTCAAGATTTTTTAACAGCAAAGGACAATTTCAATCAACGAATCAGGAGGGTATTTTGTTTTTGGTCGGTTAAAAAAATAAAAAGTGATTTTATCCGAAATAAATCAAGATTTCCTTATAGCAAAAAAGTTTTCGAACTTGACTTTTTCATATTAAATGTCTTTTCCTCGTGACGAGGGTATTTTTAGCTTTTGGTCAGTAAAAAAAAATTAAAAGTTGTTTTATCCAAAATAATTCAAGATTTCTATACGACTAAAAAAATGTTTTTTGAACTTATTCTCATGTTAAATGTCATATTTTTAGTGTAAAAAAATTTTTTTCTTAGTTTTTGGTCAGCAAAGTTATAAGTGGTTTTTAACCAAAATTAAGGTTTTCTTTTGGCAAAACAACAAAATATCTTGACCTCAATTCTTTTCACATAATGTTAAACATTGTATTTCTGAGTAAAAAAGCACAGAAAGTTATTATTTTTGTTTTAATTCCAAATAATTAAAAAAAGATAGTCAAAATGACAAAGTTTCCCGCTGTCGATAAAAAAAAAACATCTTCCTGATTTTCATGCATTGTAAAATATGACATTTAACTTGACAAGGAAAAAAAATTGTAAAACCTGCGGCCACTGCATTGAATGTTCAGCTTACAGTAACATTCAGTTTCTATGCGTTGAAACTATTAAACATAGGAACTAGAATATACAAAGGTGTGTAGACAAAGATATAGAAGATTTGATTAAAACTTGCAGCAAAAACCACCAAGCGTGCAACCCTTCAGGCCTCAGAAAAGCAACTACCTTGAAATTTGATTGCGGAAAGAACTAAGTTTGTTTATGAACTTAATTGAACTTAGATTATAAAATTTCAATTTGTTAGAAATTTTAAGTGCTTTTTCAAGAATTTTTTTCAGACTTTTTTTTCTTTTGCATTACGTTGCATTGCCTAATTGCGCAAGACTTGGGAAACTTTTAATTACATTGGAGTGTGAAACATTTACAAAACATTGAATAAAAAAAATTAACATTTCTATAGTTAGTTTGTGAAATATTATCGAATAATTTTAAAGTAAAATAAATATGTGAACCATTTTGCAGTAGGTGGAAATGCAAAGAATAGTTGAAATTTGAAGTGCTAAAAGGGCCAATAGGGCAATATCATTTATTAAATACACAAGTGTATTTTC